ATGCACATGCATGCACACAGTGATGCATATCTATTTCTGTAAAAAATAGTATTGCAACTTTTCTTACTACTAGTTTCACCAAAATGAATGTAATATTATTTTTATGGTCTGGGTATTTTTATCAATGAACGCAGTGGGCATATTATTAGGAATGTACTTTACTATTCTATCAGTATGGTGCATATGCAAACTAAAATTGATTCTGGGTACTTGTGTTTAATAAATGTTTTACTAATTTATCACTGCCTATTATTTGAGAAATCATTTCAGGAATACTTAGATTTATTATAACAGTGTAATATTTACATATGTTCCCAGTAGACTAAGCTTACAGTCCTTGTACATTATCCACATCTTAGTGTATCAATAAATGAAATGATGGCTTCTACTAATTCAGTCTATAGAAGTAAAAAGCATAATACCTATCTCCATTCTATGGTTCTGTTAAAATACTCTTTATAAATTTTCTCAGCTTTTTAAAATAAGTTAGAAGTTCCATCACTGTGGATTACCAGCAATCAAGAATAATGATTTGCATTAAAATGCAAACTGTGGTATGTTTGGCACAACACAGTATTGAGCTGGAGGAATACAGCAGGTTCAGAATTCTGAAGAAGGGTCCCAATCCGAAATGTCAACATTCCTGCTCCTCTGATGCTGCCTGACCTGCTGTGTTCCTTCAGCTCCACACTGTGTTGTCTCTGACTCTAGCATCTGCAGTTCTTGCTATCTCAGAGTATATTTGGCACAGTCTGATTTTAAATTTTGATAGGGATTAGTTGTACAGGGCCAAACTAGCTGTCAGATTCATACATTTTTCTCTCCCTTTTCTCCTCTTCCTAACCCCCACACCCATGTTAACAAAAAACTGTAACACTTTCTAGTTAAAATGTCAACAATTTTTACCGTAAGCAATGAGCCAATCACCAGGTTTTCTTGAATTAAAGAAAGAGTAAGTTTATTACCTGTGTATTCATAGAAAATAATAAAGACACAACAGGTATAGGGCTTTTGTGCTGGCATTTGGGATCCTCTTGTTACCTCCTTCATGCTGTCTTTCACACACACAAACAAAGTTAACAGTAGATTGTATCCAATACAAATGAATTTTTCTTTATATACAGTTTAGGCGTCCTCAAGGCATAAGATCTTAAATTAAGACCATGGTTGGTTAATTGATGTAATCGGCAGTAGTAATATTGCAGTATTTTTTTAAAAGATTCTTTGTTCTCTGCATTTTTTTCCCCATCTCCAACATGTGAAGATTCTCAATGGTGTAAATCAAACAGGAGAAAGAGATGTTTTTACACTTCTCATGGGGTCTGACTGTCTTTGGTTTTATGAAACTTGGACAATCTGTGTGGGTCAGGTGATCTCTGTAGACATTTAAGGTTAGTATTTTGGTTCTTTGTCAGCCCATATAAGTTCTAGCTGTTAACTCACCCAATGGAATTCAATGATCAAAGTTCCATATTTTATGCCATCCCAACATGCATAGGCCAACTGCGCTTAGAGTCATTTCCTTAGGTAATGACTGATCTATACTTATATTTCCCTGTTTTTGTTCCATATTGCTTAATACTGTTTCCTTTAAATAAAATATATCAATCTGAGTCTTAAAAAGAAATGATACTTTAGCTAGAATTTAATGCCTTTTTTCAGAGAGAACTACAGATCTCCACCATCTTTTGGAAGATGTGCTCCCTGATTTCACTTGATTTTGTTAATGTAATTAACCATAGTCCACTGACATGTAGTTTCCAAAACTTACTATAGTACTCATAGAGCCCCTACAGTGTGAAAGCAGGCCAATCGGCCCATCAACTCCACACCAACCCTCTGAAGGGCAACCAACCCTCTGAAGGGCAGCCCACCCTGCATTTCCCATGGTTGACCCACCTAGCCTGCACAATTCAGCATGGCCAATCCACCTAACCCGCACATCTTTGGACTGTGGGAGGAAACCCATGCAGACACAGGGAGAATGTGCAAACTACACAGACAGTCTGAGGCTGGAATCAAACCCAGATTCCTGGTGTTGAGGCAGCAGTTCTAACCACTGAGCCACCACGATCAAGTCTGACCAAAGTTCAGTACAACGGCAACATTTTTGTATTACAACACTCTCGAAACAAAGGTAACTTTTCTATTTGCCTTTTCGGTTAAGTTTGTAGTTGTCTAGGGATTCATTGCAAAGAAAAAAATCAACATTTCTGAAATTAAAAGCACCAAATGTCTGATGTAGCAGCTTGCCAAGTTTTAGTTCTCCTGGCATACCCCACATCACCACAATGTAGAATGTACTTCATTTACAAAACTGAAAGTACACTTGAGTTATCAATGGATATGGGCCCTTCAATAAGACCCTTAGAGTTAGGAACAGAAATAGGCCATTCAGCCTCAGGTCTGTTCTACCATTCAATGAAATCATGGCTGATATGGTAATTCTCAACTCCACTTTCTTGCTTTTTCCCATAACCTTTGATTCTTTTACTGATTAAAAATCTATCTACCTCAGTGTTGAATAAACTTAATAGCCCAGCCTCAACAGCTTTGTACTGTAAAGAATTCCACAGATTCACTACCCTCTGAGAGAAAAAAATCCTCCTCATCTCTGTCTAAAATAGGCAGTTCCTTATGTTGACATTATACTCTGTGATTCTAGATTCTCCCACACGGTGAAACACCTCTCTGCATCTGCTCTCTCAAGCCCCCTGAGAATTGTATATGTTTCAATAAGGTCTCCTCCCATTCTTCTATACTCCAAATGAGCAGAATTCCAACTCACTCAACATTTCCTTATGATTCACTGGGTTAGCACGCTGGAAATTGGACTCTGGCATTTCTGGAGTCATCACAAAATTAAAGATTTTAGAAAGTATGCAAAGGTCCACAGTTCACATGACTGTCAGACCTAGATTGAGAAAGACTAGGTTTCTAGTATTGAACAAGAACAGGTATAGGTAGGTATAGCTACAGGTAAACCATTGGTATGTAACATTATTAATTAAAACTCTAACTAAGCTCCCCCTTACACATACATGCAGACAATCAAACAGACAGGGTAAAATATGTTACTTATGGGAGGAAATGGGGTATACAATTTCAGTAGGCTTTGTTTCCAGGTTCTGTTGTTGCATTGATCCTTTTTAACTCTCCTGCTGGCCAGCATATTCCTTCAGTCATCTTAATCCAGATGCTTCCACAAACTGATAAGAGATACAAGGTAGCTGGCTCACTGAAAAAAAAGTCTGACTTACCATTTAAAAGTTACAGCTCACAATAACTGTTGCAGGAAAGATAAACTGCTTTACTTCAGGTTTATGGTGAGTTCTAACTGCAGAGAACAGAGATACTGCTTTTGAGTCAGGGAGAAAATGAACACCTGTCTCTCTCTAACTTGTTCCCTGCTCCAAGTTGTTCAGTTGTGTGAGAATGAACCACAGTTGTTAGCAGGCAAAAAAGGTCTCTGTTATTAATAATTGGTTGTTAGTCCAAAGAGCAATCAACTTCTTGCTGCCAGCAAATGTTGTATCTGTACACCTCATTGGCTCCAAATCATCTGTAATTCAAACTTCAATTAGTGTTTGATCAAACTGTTGTTGACAGGGCATCTGCAACGGGAATCAGTACACGCTTTCAAAATGTACAACCTGCCTATCAAACACTAGTTTTGAAAAAAAAAAATCTCATTTCAGTCCATAGATTTTTTTTTTGGAAGAAACACAAAATAAAAAGACACAGTCCTTAACAATTTGCTTGTAAGAAAGACCCTCCATACCAAAGTCAATCTCTGGACTGCCTCCAATGCAAGTATATCATGCCTTAGGCGGAGGGACAAAAACTGTTCATGTATTCCAGCTGTGGTCGACTAGTGCCTTTTCCAGTTTTAGCAAGACCTTTTTTTATACTCCATTTCCTTTGTAATAAAGGACAACAATCTATTTGCCTACCCTATTGCCTATTGAATTCAGATGCTTGCTTTTTGTGATTCATTCAGGAGGATTCCAAATCCTTTTGTTTGGCAGCTTTCTGCAGTCTTTCACTATTTGAATAATATTCAACTCTTTCACACTTTCTACCAAAATGCATAGCCTCATATTTTCCCCCATTCCCACATTGTATTCCACATCCCAAGTTTTGCCGATTTAATTTAACCTGTCTGCACCAACTGTGTCATCTTCACTACTTGCCTTCCCATTTAGTGCTGTGCCATCTACAAAATTGGTGATAGTACATTCACCTTCCTCATCCAAGTCATTAATATATATTGTAAATAATTGCAGCTTCAGCACCAATTTGCGTGACACTCCACTAGTTATAGGTTGTCATCCTGAAAATGCCTTGTTTATCTTAACTCTCTGTCTTCTGTTGGTTAGGCAATCCTATATCCATGCTACTATATCACCAATATGAACACTTATCTTATTAGGTAGCCTTATGTGTGGTACCTTATCAAATGCCTTTTTGGAAACCCAAACATATTACATTTACTTGTTTCCTTTTTATCTATCCTGCTTGTTACATGTCCAAATAACTTTAATAAACTTGTCAGTCATGATTTCCCCTTTATAAAGCATAGTTGATTCTGCTGGATTGCATCATTTACTTTCAAATGTTCCACTGTTGCATCCTTTTCATTAGACTCTACGATTTCCATGTTAGCCAACTGGCCTATATTTCCTGTTTCTATTCTCCTTTTGAATAAAGGTGCTGTGTAGGCATTTCTGAAATCTTCTGGGACTTTTCCAAATTTTGCTTCGTTAGTTTCCCCAGAACGTTTTCTGTAATGATAGTTACTGTGTTTGTTTTTTCTCTTTACTTAAGTCCCTTAATTATTTTAGTATTTTTTGGAATTTTATTAGTGTTCTCCAAGGAACCTATCTTCACTTAGGCCTCTCT